CAGTTGCTCCATTAAAAGGGAAAGGAATTTTACGTTCGGTATGAACATAAGGCTCGGAGTGAAGAATTTCCTCATAAAAACGTAAAGGTAATGATTCCCTGCCAAAAGTCAAGTCTTTGGGAGGTAAATTTATTAATCTAAGAATTGGTTCAACAAAACAATTATAAAAAGTATTTCCAGTATTTTCCAAACTATATAAGAAATTAAGAAGAGGTTCCATTGTTGATTTCACAAAAATACCTAGATACATAACTTGTATAATTACTACTAGTGTTACATTAATCGTCTCAAAAAAGGATGGTTACAAAAATTTTGCATGTAGGCGTCAAAAAAAATTCACAAAAGGAAATTTTAACAAAGGCACACATTGTTCTCATTATTGTAACTTCCTTTTTTGATCTATCGCACAGATCTGTAATTAAATAGTGCTGAAAATCAATAACAAAATAGAATATCAAAATATTATATTATATTTCAACGAAAATTCAGCCAAAATCAAAAATTCTGAATTTTGGCTAAAATTTATTGACAGCTGATTTCAGTAGTTAAGTAATTATTTTAGTTAACACTAAAAGATGACTGAAGCAGCAGATCAATTACTAAGCCACATCATTCCTATTTTCTAATGGATCCTGCAAATTTCATATAATTCAAGTTCAACATTGTTTGTTATCTTCAATTTCCAAATGATGTGAAGGAATAAGTTGGATTCTTTCAAAATATCAAACTTAATTGCTAATCCGTAAGTTAATCGGTGAGATTAATTAGTAATGCAATTGGGCGATCAATATATTAACGTTACACAGTTACCAAAATTCCTCTAATATTAAAAACTTGTAAAATAATACACGGAAACTAAACAATGAACATTATTTAAAAATAAAATATTTTCGAACTTTCAATAAAAACTTTATTATATTGGACATAGAGATTTTAGAGGCTACATATATAGTGAGATTCCAAAATTTTGAAACAATGTCATTATTATTTTTTAAAATTATTTTTTTTTCTGCCGTTTTATATTATTATTATTACTACAAACAACTTTTTTACCTTTTTCATTACTGGATTTTGCTGTTTCTTCCGTTTCTTCCATTTCTTGAAAATTATTATTTAAATTTCTGATGGTATTACTTCCTTCTACTAATATCTCCGCTGAATGTTTTTTCAGGCTTGCTGCATACCGTGTAATCCAATTTGCAACTTTTGTTATTTCTGGAACATCCTCAACTTGAATTTCACCTTTATTAGCAAGAATTTGAAGTTGTTCTACCATGTCCTTTGCTGTCATCCGATCTGTTTTATTCATATTACCCACCAAAAAATAACTTTCAAGGTAAGATTTTACCATTTTTGTCATCCATTTTCCTGCTCCCCTTTTTCCATTAATCACTGTTTACTTTATGCATTTGGTGAATGTCATGAACAACATACTGATCGATGTGCTGCATGTGATCAACTATTTGGATTTATTCAACATCTTATGATTAATCTCAAGGAACACCATTCAGCTATTGAAAAATGTCAAGATAAATTAGACTACTTTTTGGCACATCAAGCAAGAAAGGTATATTTAAATAGTCAATTCAAAGCTAGACTTGCAAAGTTAGACAATGATAGAGTAATTTTAGTATGTGATTATAAAATACATATTTTGCCTAAAAGTGCACGAGAAACTAAAGAACAATTCTTTGGAAAGCGTGAGTGGAGTTTGCATACAATTTTAGTATTTACAAAATCTAATATCAATCAACTCAATATTCAAGCATTTGATTACTGGAGTACTGACACTAAACAAGATGCTTGGTTCACTGTTTCATTCATTTGATTCTGTCTTTAAAACTCTTGATCCAAGACCACAATGGATTGAAATATTATCAGATAATGGTGTCCACTATCATAACTCTGAATTAATTACTACCATTGCTAACTGGTATCAATGGTATAATATTGAAATTCGTGGTTGGTATTTCTTGAACCTGGAGAAGTCAAAACAAGTGTTGATTCTCATCACGCTCAAGTAAGTTTTGAAAATTTTATAGTTTTGAAAATTTTATATTTTACTAAATTAGATAATAACTTCTTTATTTGTTAGATTGTACATGCCATAAAAAGATATGTTCGTATTGGACATAATTTAGATGAGGGAGAAAAAATACAAGTTGCAATATCTGATTTAGGAGGAACATCAGTTGCAAATATAGAGCCTACTTGTGATAATCATAATGTTAAAACAATTGCCGGTATTACTCAATTGTTTTATTTTGAATGGCCAATTAATGGTGATTACGTTGGATATATACAAGCTCAAAGCTTACCACATATTGGATCATGGTCACAATTTTCACCTTTTGAAATATCAAAATTAACTACAACCCTATAAATAAACCAACACCCAAAATACTCCTCATTCGATTCCAAAAAATCCATGGAACTTTCCACTATCTTGTGTTCAAGGTAATAATCAAAATTTTATTTTTTATTTTTTATTATATATTTTATACAAGGATAAATATTACATAAAATAGAAAATGAAAAATAAAATATTTTTTTTACTATTTTTTTAGATACAAATAAACGAAAAAATAATAATAATCAAACTTTTCATTATTAGGTATGTATGATGTAATAAAATTTTGTTTTTTTTTAAGTATAATTTGTTGATTTATTTATATTATTTCAATATTTATTTATATTATTTTCAATATAGCTGTAGAAGAAACATTTGAATTGAAAAGAGGTTGGGCATTAAAAAGTAACCAGAAATATGGAAAAAGGGGAGCAGGAAAATGGATGACAA